CATCTGGTGATAACAATGGCCAATGCATAATGCTCTCCTTGACATCTCCAACATCGTTGGCAGCCATCATTTCTGCTCAACAATAGTGAAATTTCATCAGAGAACAGCATGGAGGCCCACTGGTCCTTCATCTAGCATAAAAGCTCACCGGCCCATGCAGGACGACGGCCTGTGCCTGGTGGAGTAGTCAGGTACCCTTTTGCAGGTCAGCTAGCATGCAGACCACGCTGATGTAAATGGTTTCAAATTGACTGACGTGGCACTTGAGTGCCTGTAACCTCCCTTAAATGTGCCTCGAATTGAATGGAATTCAACTCTAGGCAATGTAGCGGTCATCAGCATGGGATGTGGCCAAAGGACGTCCACTTCTACATCTTTCTGTGACTCTTCCAGTCTCTCGGTATCTATTGCAATCTGCTGATGACACTCTGTGACACTCTAAGCTCAGTGGCCACTTCCGTCTGAGAACGTCCCATTTGAAGAATCACAAAGGCAAGGTGCTTTAAACACCAGCTCGAATTGAGCCAGGACATTTATTGGTCGATTCAAGCATTCAATGCCTAAATAACCTTGCGCCACCTTACCTCTCTGAGCTCATCCGCCCCTACACACCTGCCTTGTGCCTCAGGTCTGTGGACCAGACATTATTAGAAGTACCAAGAACTAAACTGAGGCTCAGAGGGGATCGAGCCTTTTCTGTTGCTGGTCCCTCTCTCTGGAATGACCTCCCACTGAGCATTCGGCAAGCCTCCTCGCTGCCCATCTTCAAAACCCGCCTCAAAACTCACTTGTATTCTTTGGCATTTGACTCAGCATGACTTAGATTGTTCTTGGTTTTGCTGTTCGGTGCTTTCTACTGTTTTTATTACCGATTTGCTTTACTGTTTGTTGTATATGTTAATTTGCTCCATGTACAGCACTTTGTATGCAGCGATGGCTGTTTGAAAGTGCTCTATAAATACAGTTGAGTTGAGTTGTGAATTTTGCAGTTAAGCTCCCCGTTGGAGAACAGAAACTTGTGCAAAAAGTAGGGAAACATTTAACAGTTGGACATGTGCATTCAAAAGCTTCGTGAAGGTCACATTAAGTTCACCCATAAAGGTGTGAATGCATTTTAATCTTGTCCTAAAATTTCCCCTAAAGCCAAAATATTTTTGTGAGTCGATGTATATACTGTACTGTAGTTTTTCATCTTATTCATTTTTTATGTCCTCTATGGACAATAACAGTAGTATTATGCAATAACAAAAGTAATCACGCTCTGCACGCACAGACGCACACACACACACACACATACACGCACGCACGCACACACACGCACACGTAAATCTCAAAGAAAACGGTTCAAATGAAATTAAAAATTAATTTCTTGATATATCAAATTGGATTATTTCTTACAACATTGAATTGAATAAGTGTGTGTCTGTGTGTGTGTGTGTGTGTGTGTGTGTGTGTGTGTGTGTGTGTGTACAGTGATCCCTCGCTACTTCGCAGTTCATTTATCGCGGGTTCAGTGCATCGCAGATTTTTGACTCGCTGTTGTTTTGCAGCTTCTCGCGGACCGTTTGCGGACTTTAAAAAAAAAAACGTTTTTTTTAACCTGTGTATGTTAATTGGTCGCTACTTTGCGGATTTCCGTTTATCGCGGGTGGTTTTGGTCCCCATTAACCACGATAAATGAGTGTTTACTGTATATCTCAATGTAGAAATGTTATACAGGGTAATAATAAGAACCTTTTAAAGGTCAAAGAGTCAAAACTATGACAAATGAACAAAGCACAAGAACAAAAACAAACCCAATTAACACAACTTTTTTTTTCTTTTTCACAATTCAAGCAAGTTGCCTTTATATGTTTGCAGCGAATAGACATGCCACATTTTGAGCAGAAATTTGACACTCTCAGTGGCTTTTCACAAGGAGCACATTGCTTTCTTTTGGCGGAGGGTCCCTCTGTTGCCTCCCTCCTCTGCTGCTACCACAGCCTGCTGGGCAACCTCACCTTGAGGCCTCTTTGGCCTTCGTCGCTTAATTTCGTCTGATTTCTAAAGGAAAAGCCGCCATTTATAATGCTTTTAGCGGTTCCATGGTGGGGCAACATATATGTCCAACACAAATGCACTTCCTGCAAACTGCTGTCAGGCTATTGAATAGACGGTCCTGAAAACCTGGACTCACCCCCACTCACCCATTTTTAATATGCTTATATTCATATTTTATATTTATTATACGCTTTTTGTCTTCTACTTTCTCCCTTTCATAATTTTGCTGCAGTAAATTGGGAATTTCTCCATTGTGAGACAAATAAAGGTTTTCTTATCTTATGTCCAATGTGGTATAAAAAAAAAAGGCACATGGGCCACCTCTGTGACTGCTGGCGGGTAGTTTAAGTGACACATGCCTGCAAAAAAACAGATGACAAGACAGAATGATTGACTGATTGAAAGCTTTGACCAAAAAAAAAAAACTTGTGCTGACCTGGTTCAGCTGATGCATTGCGCCCTTCCATTTGTTGTAGTCCAAGATAATTTTTGGCCTTTTGTTCACTTCCTCTACCACCGACAGTTCCCAGTGCTTGGTGATTCACACCAAAACCCCTTTTCACTTTTTAGGGGACATAAGACACCAAGCTCATGTGGCGTGTAGACGCAAATTTGCTTGAAAGGTTCGCTGTTGGTCAGCTGGAGGAGCTGTGGAGAAAGCTCCGCTTGGTTTTATTTGATGGTTACAACTCGAGCCATTTTTTAAAAATCTCTAGAGCCAGTGGTATTGAGAAAAAAAATGTCCACTATGACCGTGTGGCCCTCCAAAGAGCCACACCATCCCAATACTTGCATGCAAAGCAATGCAATATGCTCCAGTGTGCGTGCAGACACAGAAACACGCACACAAATGTATTCATATTTACACACAAACACTTGGAAAGTACTGGTATTTTGTCTTTTATCAGAAGTGATCCATGTCAAGTGCGTACATGCGCACACCCTTGCAGAAACACTGCTGCAAGGAAAAATCCTGAATTAATCTTTGGCGCAACCTGGTGGTTTTGGGGTGTATGGGAAATGCATTCTAAAATGATCGGTATCTTAAAAAGTCAATGTGACAAAAAACGTGCACTTTGTGTTGTTGCGATGTTAAAAATGACAACTTTGTGCCATTTTGAACTTTGACTTCTTTTAACATCCTCAGCGAAATTTCAGCTCTGGATCCCCCCCAATACTCAAAAAACAAAATCTGGACAACATACTGCACGCCGATTGGATGCCGTGTTCGTGGGTCGACCCTGAGCTTACTTTTCATCTACAAAAGAGATAGGGAACTCCAAGGGATATGCAAAATAAAATTTAACTTGCAAAAGTTAAATCTTATTTTGACAATGAAGTAGAAAGAACAGATGTTCCCAAATGTAAGAAGTAAAATAAAACAATAGTCAGAAAAATGATTCCTCAAGCACAGATACCTGAAAAACTACTTTAGTACAGTAAAGACGCATTTGTAGTTTGTTACCGAAGGGCTGGCACGAAGTCCTTTGGCCAAATTGTGATACCTGCGTAAATTTACACTCCTTCCACTGATTCATCATCCTGCCTTTTAGGTGACAACAGAATGTGACGAGCCATAAAAAAATATTACAATGCTTGCCCCAATGACAAGCTGACACTTTTGTTCAGCACTTTAAGGTCTTTTTCCTTGTGCTTGCTTGTTAACACATCTGGTTGAGTGTTTTGTTACAATATCATAAAATACAGTACCAGTATGGTTTCAAAAAAAATTTTTTTCCCCAAAACACTGATACTGTACTGTATATAACTTTGGCATTTAGGTTTTGTGGCTAACAATATGATATGCAAGATGCAAGCAAATTTTACCATGCCTAGCTGCTAAGCACATGAGATTTTATGTGGAGCGAGAGAGAGAGAGAGAGAGAGAGAGAGAGAGAGAGAGAGAGAAAGAGAGAGAGAGAGACCACGCTTTCACATGCCGCGGGAAAGCCTGCGTTGGTCTAAAAAAATTACCAGTTTTGGGAAAAGAAATCCAGTTGGATCTGATTCATTAATTGGATATGTATTAAATGTATGACTGTATTTTCCGCACTATAAGGCACATCTAAAAGCATTCACTATTCTCAAAAGCTGACAGTGTGCCTTATAATCCAATTATGTATCCAATATTCATATTCTCATTTCTTGGATATAGTATTTTAAATGTTCTCTACGCTTTGTTACAGCTGCAGCAGTTGTGTAGGCTCTACATAAATAAAGCAGTATTGTTTTATAGTGTATTCCTTTTAGTGTAGTGCCATCTAGTGTATGCATAACACAACCACAGCCAGGGATCTACATAAATAAAGCTGCATTGTATTGTGTTGTATTCCCTTTAATGTAGCTCCAGCTGGTGGATGCATAACACAACCACAGCCACTATTGTAGCTTCTATTATATGCGCCATATAATGCGGTACGCCCTATATACAAAAATTATTTTAAAATACGCCATTCATTGAGGGTGCCTTATACCCCCAAGTGCCTTATAGTGCGGAAAACACGGTATTTGTACATTTTTTTTTTACAAGTTATAAATAATTCCACAGACAATGAAAAAGCTACAAAGTCCTCTGCAGTTATCCAAATTTTAAGAATGCTCAACTCTCTGTCAGAATATTAAGCATTGTATTTCAAAGTCCATACTATTTAAGATAAGATAAGAAATCCTTTATTAGTCTCGCAATGGAGAAATTCCCAATTCACAGCAGCAAAGTTATGAAAGGAAGAAGTAGAAGAACAAAATATAGGAGCTGCTGGAAAGGCAACAATATATTTTTATGTCAAATATTTGCAGTGGACTGTAGAACCTCCTTGTAATCTGGTTAAGTGAATGATAAAGGCTCGCTGTTGTATGAGGTTGAAGAGAAAGCTTAACCAGGTAGGTTATCCTGCTCAAATTAGTCTTCTCAATTATGACTTTAAAACAAAACAAAACAAAAAAGTACCAAGACAAAGAAATTGAATTTTAAAATAGTCCATTTATTTTCTATTCTGCATTTGACAAAAACTGTAGTAGGTGTTCAATAAAAATATTGCTTCAGTCAGGTGAAAGCCAACATTTGTGGTGTCATGCCTGACGACAGATTGGATAGGCTCAGAGCTCAAATCAGACAGATTTAGCATTTTGGTTCCTGCAAAAATGACTGAGTCTCATCTGGTGGAGCAGAGGGGACCATTTGGTTTGTCTATTTGTTTTTGCTTAGGGTTCGTTGTTTTTCTGCATGTTCAACTATCTTTTCCTCCACATAGAGGCCCTTTCGGCGGCGGACAGCATTCATGTATTTGAGTGCCTGGTTAGTGGAGTCGGCCTTTTCTCCAAAGTGCAGATATTCTTCCTCAGTGGTAGGAACCCAGTATGGATCGCTGCTGATCACCTGGGGAAGGCAGGCAGATGGCGTGATTCCACAAACAGTGTTGGACATGAATGAATACAGAATGCTATTGTTATTCAAAACAAAACAACGGAACTTCTCGTACAATAATAAAGAAACTTCTCTCAATATGCTGGCCTTCAGCAGACACATTTCGGAATCCTAATTCCAAGTCAAGCAAAGATTTCTCTCACAAGAGGCAATTGCATTTGGAGCTTCCCAGCGTACATTCATACTTGCTGCGGTAAGCCAATGAATGAATGAATAGTATCTTTCAAAGAAACACATTGAAGCACGGGACAGAGACAGATGTCTGGGCCTACTACATAGCCCACAAATTGTCAGGCAAGATAAACCAGCTCCAATAAGATAAAACCAAAGAAGGTAAAAAAAAAAAAAAAAAAAACCAAAAAAAAACAAAACTA